AAAAAAAAAAAAAAAAAAAGACACAGACTATCCCAAATATCATCTACCTAGATTTAATATAAAGTTTTATATATTATATGGAAATATATATTATACTTGTAATTATGGAGTCATTTTTACAATGTAATTATTTATGTATGGTGCAATGTGTATATGGACAAAAAACGGAAAATGCACTTTGGCTTATATAATTCTTTCAATACAGATTTTAAAAAAAAAAAAAAATTATACAGCAAAAATAGGATAAAGCCCTAATTTTGATGTATTTTTTTTTTTAATATTATTAATACCCAGACAAGAAGCTAATACCAGTCACTCATTGATAATAAAGTATTCGCATTATTGGGGGGGGGTTTAGTTGTCTTTTTTGGGGGAGGATCTTTTTTTTTTCTTTCATTTCCCCCATAATTTTGAGTGCTGAACAGTGTCTGCCCCATGTGCTGCCATTTCCCGGGGACAGCAAGCCCAGCACTAATAATTTACACTTTGGGTTTTCGTTCACATTACAGGTATTGGTGTCAAGGGATGGTGTCAGAGCATCCCAGTCATTTCAGGCAGCTTTGGGGAATTTTACAGATTGTTTTTCCCTATATCCCATCTCCCATGAGGGATCTCATCTGTCCCATACCCTCCTCCAGCAGCACCACGGCTTGACTCTTATCCCGTTCTCCTGGTTTCCAAGTGCCAAGCATGGATATTCTCTTGGGATTCTGTCCTACTGCAAGTAATTCCAAGCCCTGCTTGCTGTTTCCTATTTAGTGTTAAAAACTGCACAGCCAAGGGCAAGGCACGAAGAGCACAAGGGGAACTTCTAATGTGTTTCAGTCTCTCTTTTAAGCTCTGTAAGTACCTTTTGAGGTCTGTTGCTGAAAGGATAGGGATGGGAAGGTGTCATCCGGGGTGACTGCAGTGTGCAAAGCCAGGAGGAGATGTGGAAGACGCGAGGCCAGCCTGCCTTCCCTGACAACCCCTTGGAAAGTGCTCAGCATGGTAAGAAAGGATGGATTGAGGAGCCCTGATCTACTCTCAGCATTTTCTCTATGGGTTGCACTTCTTTCGGATCTTGCTCATGCCTTCAGAAGGGTTTCCCTGGGCTGAAGCTTGAGGGTTAAATTTCAGGTTCCTGTTGTGCAACTGCCAGTTTTGCTTAATTTTTCTTGTTTTATTCCTCACCCACTTACCCTGGAATAAATCTAGAGTTTTGTTTCAGTTGGCAGTGAGGCTTTAAGGGGAGTAGAAAAGATTTGATGAAGAAGCTGTGAAAGGAGACATCAGGTCTTCTCTTCCACTTCGTTTTCTCTACTTGAATAGTTGAGTCTAATCATTTCAAGGACACTGTGAAGAAGCTTTTAGGACACTGTGAGGAAGCCTTTAGGCTAGCAAGGGCCTTGCTGCAGCCTTGCAAAGCTCAAAGCTCAGCTTTGCAGCTGAGGTGCTCAAAGCAAGGAGTGCTGCAAGGCGGCAAGTGGTGCAAAGTGGTCACGAGCCACTTTGCCAAATCCACTTCTAATGAAGCCAGAGCAAAAGACGTGAGAAGCATTGGAAGTGCTGAGCTCCAGCAAAGTGCTGGCACTGCCTCCTTGGAGCTCTTCTTGCTTGGAGCAGGCGCTGCCATGCACCAGGCTGGACAGTGCGGACACCAGCCCGTGCTGCTGCAGAGCTCCATGTGCAGGATTGCTAGCGCTTGTGAGGATGCTGTTGTCTCTTGAGAAGCCAACTCATCCTTCTCCACCAAATATCCAGGTGGGAGTGAGTGCTGGCACAGGGAGCTTCCTTGCTCAGTGGCTCCCGGGGGAGATTTCTTTTCCTGGGATGGGTTTGAGCATTCCCAGCTGAGGCGTTTGCAGGAGAGGGTGATGCAAGGTTGGTGGCACAAGATGTTCTCAGGCAGCACAAGAGGTTCTCAAGCACCTGCTCAGACCAGGGGCTTGAGAAATTTCCTTGTCAGCCGTGGATAAGATCTTGATCGGGGAGAAAGGAATGGTCTGACTGGCTCTGTGGGTCATTGGCGGAGGCGGTGGGACGCGGGCATGTTCTAGCCCGGACTTGCTGGGCACCTTCATCTGATGGTACCAAAGAGCTTGCAGCGGGGCAGATGGTTCCTCATGGTGTTACCAAGAGGAACGTTGAGTCTGAGCAACTTCTGCTTGAACTTGCCAATGCTAAATACACGCAGATCACACTGCAATGGAAGCCCCGAGCTAATCCCAGAACCAGAGTGGGATTGTGTTTGGGATTCCGAGTTTGGATTGTGAGATACGTTGAGTTGACAGGGCTCTCTTAACAACGCTGCCCTAAACGAGCTGAAGCTAAAAAATAGAGCTAAAAATGCCGTTGTGGCATAGCTTTGGAAACAATTCCGCAGGGGCTGTCAGTCCCTGCCCTGTAATCCTCCTTTGCAGGGCTTTATCTCTGCAGTAAAAACTCCAGGGGACATTTTCAAGGCATAATTGGAAGTTGAATATTCCTTCCCCACCCCCAATACACCCAGTCTGGCAAGGAAAAAAAATCACTTCGCTTTGGAATATGAGAATGAAGTAGAGGTTTCGGCCTTAGCACGTTATATGATGCTATTTGACTTGGTAGATAATGAGAAGTCCAAAGTTCTTCGCATGGGATATGTATTAAGCAGCAGAGCCTGGATAATCTTTCTGTGGATCAAATTCCTTGGGGATGGCGTTGGAAGTGAGGGTACTGGGGGCTTTTGTATCGGTTGTAACTACACGTTTCTTGGGAGCTTTGAGCCTTTGCATTGGTGAATGGCAGGGACAGTAGCTGTGCTGGCGTCCGAGTGCCCTGGCTGGGTGTTAGGCCGAGCTTTTGTAGGCATCCAAGCAAACCTCTGGGAAAGACATTCACCAGTGGAGCTTCCCAGCCCCGTTTCCTATCAATAAGTTCCTTTGCTTTCCTCCAAGGCCTTATTTTCCTCCTGGTGATGAAGCATTTCTTGCAGTTTCGTGGATAAGCCAGCCTATATTCCTGGCTTATGAATGTGCTGGTGCAAGGCACAAAGTAGCATCTGTAGTGTACGCACTGTGGGAACAGCCCAAAATTGCTCTGAAACTCCACTGGCTTGCAATTATATTGGATTCTATTAAATTAAAACACATAGCACATATATTACACAATAAACCACAGCTATTTCATGGATCAAATTAAGTTTTATTTGGGCAAATTACAACCTTTCTTACAGTTGGGCCTTTGTGAAACCATTCCTTTTTAATAAAAGCAGGCATTTTTGGCAAATACTCCTAAAGTGTGCATTCCTAATAATTGCATATGGCCGTGCTGTTCTTTTTGGGATCTATGTAGCTCATTATCTACTGTTTAGGATAGGTTCGAGTGAGCGGCATCTTCCCTTTCCTCCTCCCCTGCTCCCCCCTTCTGCTAGCATTTCTCATTGCTTTCCGGTTTTATGAGTTTGGCTGTGGAAATCGGCACAGCAAGAGAAAAAAATAAAACTTATTAAAAGCCGGAGCGCATTTCCCGGAATCGAGGGGGGGAACGTGACTCCGCGGTCCCGGCCGTGGGGCCCCCCGAGAGCAAAGGGACTCGAGGGGACCCGCGCGGGGCAAGGAGTGTGGAAACAGCCCCGAGGGTCCTGGATGGGGCCCCTTGGGCAGAATGTGGCCCCGGGTGCCTCCCGGGCATCGCTGCCGGCCGGGAAGCTCTCAGCTCCGGCAGCGGGGCCAGGATCGGGATGGAGGTGCCAGCGGGTCTCATCAAAGGAGTGCGCGTGACGCTGGATGCCTTGAGATCCTCCTGGGGATTTTGACGAAGTTGGGCAAAAGCTTCCCAAAAACTTGGGCTGGGAGCGGAGCGGCGGCAGGGATGGCCGTGCTCCGCATTTCCCTAGGAATCCAGGTTAAAAGAAACCAGATCGGCTTTTCTTCGCTCTTGAGAAACGCCGCTAAGCTGTTTTTCCTGACTCTTGTTTTCCGTTGGCTCGAGGGCAGGGATTACAGCTCTGCTAGCTTCTGGGAATCATTTTTCTCACAGTATTTTCAGCCTGGACCAGGAAATAGAGGAAATGTCCCAAGTGCGGTCTTCCTTGGGCATCGTCCAGCGCCGTCTGTGGACCAGTGAGATCCAGGTAAACAGGGATCAGCATCCAAGCTTTTTGGTTCTTGAAGACACAAAACAAGACTGATGCAACTCTTTCGTCCTTCATATATTTATTTATTTATTTATATTTATCTATTTTTCATTTTTATATATTTATATATATTTTTATTATATATTTTTATTATATATTATATATTATACATTATATATTATATATTATACATTATACATTATATATTATTTATTGTTTATTATTTATTATTTATTATATATATCTTATTATTTATATATTTAATATATTATAGCTATTATATTAATATATTATGTATTATATGTATATAATATGTGTGTGTGTGTGTGTGTATATATATATATATATATATATATATATATATATATATATATATATATGTCAGTGCTCCCATGCAGGTTTTCTTCTGGCTTACCTCACCAAGCCAGGCTGGTGATAGCACAGGAGATGCTCTTCACTCAATATCTGTCAAGCACAAAGGTGCCCTCGGATTCTTGCTTATTACTCCATGGTATTCCCTGCATCCCCACTGGATTCCCAGTGCTGCCCTATTTGCAAATCCGTCCCAATACGGTCATTCCCTGGCATGTGTTCCTTTGAGGGGCTGAGCAAGGACAGGCTGGTGCCCATGGAGGCTCTTGCTCCCAAGGCAGCGGTCACGGTGGAGCAGCCTCCACACTTGCCCCATCCTGGGCTGTCCCCAGTGCACGGACAGTTTATCCCAGTGCATTTCCTATCTCT